GCGGGTAAAATACCTCCGCGATCAAACATAATCCCCTCGTAAAGATGTCATGGAACACCTAGACTGAATTGGCGGGTCATTTTCGGAATTACTCATTCCGTTTTTGATATATTACCGGAGTAGTTTTCCTAAATATTTCTGACAGGAAGTGAGGTTCATATGTCTCACGCTGAAAACACTGATTTCAGGATATCAATTTCAAAATTTCGAGATCATGATTTTTAAAAATAACATAATCTCTATACCATAATGGTTCTGCCGTTCATGATCATCATTATATTACCGGGACGATTTTTGATGTAAATGCGTGTTTTCATTTTATTATTACAATAACGGTTCTGGTTCAGTTAACTAGACCCTGATACAATGAAACCCCGTAATACCGCACCCCGTTAATCCGGTAAATATAAACGCCAGCGCCAGGGAATAATCAATTATCCGATGAATCAGATACATCTGTACCATTGGTCATAAATCAGGTGACAAGAATGGAATGGGGAAAAAACACTTGAATCAAATGAAGACACCAGGTGCTCGCTTTGTGTGTAACGTTCCGGGCTGTATCCTAAATTACAATCCTCTGTAACCATGAATCGCTTGTCCGGAAAACGTGTTAAACCGGATAATTTCAGTGGGAAGCTTCGGTCCAGATTAATCAGGTTTACTTTATTTGCCCTTTTGAGTTACAGTTTAGTATGATAACTTACACCCTCCGTATCTAATAACACATAATCGTGTCTATGAACTAAATTTGCATATATAAACTTTTTTCATGCCTACTTTATTTATGGGGGCGGTGGGGTAGCCTAATGGTTAAAGCGTTGGCTCGTCACGCCGAAGATTCGGGTTCGATTTCCCACATGGGCACAATGTGTGAAGCCCATTTCTGGTGTACCCCGCTGTGATATTGCTGGAATATTGCTAAAAGCGGCGTAAATCCATACTCACTTACTCACTCACTCACTCACTTTATTTATGTGTGTGTGTGTGTTGTGTTTGTGTGTGTGTGTGTATGCAAATAAACATGTTTGCAACTTCATGTGCATATATCTATATATCTTTATCTATATCTATCTATCTATCTATCTATCTATCTATCTATCTATCTATATATATATGCAAATATAGTAGCATTAATAAAATACATTATATATATGAGTAATACACAAACACACACACACACACACACACACACGTACACACACACACACACACATAAAACCTTACGGGCGAAAGACACGTCACCTCGCTTTTTTAACATGTCACAAAACAACAAACTCAGATTTTGGAAATTTAACTATCATATTTGGAAAATTAATGGATTTACAACATTCTGAATTATGAAAGTGTGAACTACAGATATGAATAATCACTTAGTGTACGATAAAAGATAAAACAATGTTGGTGACATTTCCTTCGCCAGTGAGTTTATATATTTGCTAAGTTCTCATTTTGAATACAGCAAACTATGCCAAAGGGCCCACTACTTTTAGTATATATGCAAATAAATATGTTTTTAACCAAACAAAAAATGACCACACTAAACCAGACACCACAGACATCATGTGGGTGTTTTTTAAATTTGCCAACAAGATGTCTTCATTTTAAATAACACTATCAACACAATTTCAGTTTCCATATGTATCCGATGGTTTGTCAAATTTCAGGAATCACTAACAGTTTCATAATCCCATACAAACACCATTTCCCCAGTTGTTCACTGATAAGACTGTGCTACAAGACGCTGTGTCATGGTGTAGATTCTCACTTCTTGTGGCCGTAAAACCTCGTTACACAGCTACCTACCCACTGGCCATGTAACTAATGGGAGCTTTTCTATTCCTCAAAATCACAAATGTGGAAATATAGGCCAAAATATTATTTCCGACATCAGTATGGATGCCCCATAGTTGGCAAAGTATTTACGCGTGCATGATCTTGTCATTGTAAGAATATACAAACCGAAAACAGAATTGAAATAAGCCCATGTGCCGGCCAGCAGTTACTCACTCTTGAATGTAACTAAATCATAAGAAAATTATATCATCTCAACAGCCTTAAACTCAGGATGTAAGAGCATTAAGTGGAGGCTTCTATCATCTTGTACCCAAGGCCATTATCAGGATCCGCTGATCCCAGGTTTGAGTCATTTATTTGTCGTGATTAGTAACCTTGCTCGATAGTATTTAATGTCTGCGGCCCGGAGTACCTTCAGCTGCCCCACATTCAATGTACATGCCACGATATAATTAAATACAGTTCAAAGCGGTATTATACCCATTTCACTCACTCACTTCAACAATGAAGCAATTGTCGCCGTGCTCCACACAAAGCTACATGGCTATGTGACTAGATACAGCCACGGTGGGGTAAAACACCATTCACGCAGATGACAAACTGTCACAAGAGCGTTGGGATGGGTCTGTGATTAACCGTCTATATCGAAAACGGGCTTCATTCATCTTATGGTTACAACGAGTTACCGCGTTTGAGCGAATTATTCTGAAATTTTGCTACTCAAACTCAAGAACTGTCATAGTAGTATACCGTGGTAAATAACATACGTGTAATGTCAGTATTGATTATTGTGTTATTATTCTTAAACCTCATTAAAAATGTAATCATTTTTTCATGGCGCATAACGTCTGACGAATGATATACAGGTATTCCATCAAAGCTGATATAAAAAGCATATACAAGAGCCCTTTATTGCTTTCCTCAATTTGTTCCCATCTTAAACAAACCGTCTTCATATCGCATGTTATCGTCAATTGTTCTGCCCAACTGGGTTCCGTCTTTCAAAATGAATGCTTTCGTTACGGCCACCCCTGAACACGAAGACAAGTAGCGTTACCAGTCGGTAAAAGTAATCCGTCCTTCTTTTCGTTTATCGCCTGTTTGACGCTGTTCATGCCATAAAACTTCACATTTCTGTCAACACAAGCAGTAGAAATATTTAAACTGCCATGTGGCGCATCAAGCTTACCGTTTTATTATAAGGTAACGCGACTAGTGACTGGTAAGAAGTTGAAACGAGCGACCCCTGAGGGAGAAATCATTGAAGCGAGACGCCATTGGCTATTGAGGGAGATCTTCTTACTGAGAGGCGAGAAAAGAGCTGTCTCTCTATCTTTGTCGTTGCCCTTGGGTGACTTCACCACGAAGACAGAATGTTGAATATCTTTCAAGGAAATCAGACATGCATTATTATAACTTAATCCTCTGATAGCAAGACACTTGAGTGTGCCTAATAGCGTTCTGTTGTTACTTGCCCATGCAAAATAACTTGTTTATTACTGTTAAGAAAATGTTAATAAAATTTCAAGGTGTCAGGAGCCTTACCACTCACAAAGAATGGAATGGATTTTCTAACATAATGAAAGATCATGTGTCATCTGTTTTTGGCTTGAGCTATATAATCGATATTTCAGTCAGTTTGCTAGTGTTTGTGAAAGTATTCACATAAAAGTCATTAACACAATATATAGATTAAGTAATTTGAACATTTGCCTTTTTGCGTCAAGATATATATTAGTCAAGAAAAGACAGACATTATACTTTATGAATTGCTTTTCCAACAATTAGAAGATCAACTTCATTATATTTAACTGAGATGTTAGTTTTTTTACTTGCATTAGAATAATGAAAATCATATGAGCACGTTTTGTGCAATGTTGTTATCACATTCATTCGTGATTCAGATGGTATTTGATTAAACTGATTTAAACTCAACATTTAATCATCAAGACAACTTAAACCAGAATCATTAGGTGCCAAAGGTGTATTTTTTTCATATCAACTTCTTTATTTGTTATACACGACGTTTTGGAGTTAATCTTCCTCTGTCTTCAGCTTTGTATCCTTTCAGTGTTACTATTTTACGCGTATTTGTACTCCAGCAACTCAAAAGAAATTGGGTTCTGCTGTTCAATGTGTATTTACGCAAACATATAGCTTATCTAAAATTCTTGTCAGTGCACATCACTGAACTACAGTAATGCATCGCATATTTGTCCTTAAATGCGTACGTGCTGGTCAGTTAAGGGAATCGCGCTACGTGTCATATTTGGTAATTCCCTCTTCCTGGCTACCTTACAATTCCAGGACAGACTGCACATGTTGCACCGCTTTTAGCAATATTCCAGCAATATCACTTCGGGGGACACCATAAATGGGTCTTCGGGGTGAATAGCGGACGCTTTAACCACTCGGCTACCCTGCAGCCCAACATGTTCTTAAGTACATGAGCATGTGCGAAATCCAGATGCAATACACTGAAGTTGGTGGCATGTTGCTCGAGATGAAAGTGACAGTTATGATTTTACAAGAGAATCGTCTCTCTTGTCCACAGACATAGATCAAGAAAAAAGTGTTTGTCAGTTGTTTCTGTCACTTCAAACTCCACCCTGTAGCTTATATTAGCCACAAATCATATGCTCGAAACAGAGGCCTGTTTTTGATTATATTGTTATTAGGGTGAGTAGATGTTAATCTAATCAGCAATAGCTCGGTTATGCATTGATGAGTTGTTGGGAGAGGACGTCAAATGACCATGACATAATCACCGATGTTAATCAAAACGTCAATGCAAAATAGTACCATTGTCTTGACGGTCTCAGAAACCAATTCCAGAGCGCCAGGAAGTCGGAGAGCACAGTCCATAACGGCAGGAGCCGCAGACAACATAATGGACTCTATTTCTCCGATTAGCCAAACTGCCCGTGATGCGCTAGAAGGATTATGGTCATTAAACCTATCCCACCGGGTACCCATTTACTGTTAGGTGAGCAACAACGATTTTTCTCATTTGCAGAAACTCCCAGGAGTCAAGCTGCCAGACACGGTCACTCATCCAAGCACTCTCCGTGACTGGTCAACGTTGCATAACTTCAACTGATTTGTGAGCTGAGCTCTCCACACAAGACCACATGCCACCACACTCGTATACAAACTCCTCAACGTTCTCAATCAAACAATGAAAACACTTATCAAACAAAATATATTTTCTTGTTGCTTTATTACTGTCAATACACAACTGTTTATTTACAATTCTAATAAATAACACATATGTACATCAAAATATAATACATGCATTACAAATGAATATCTCATCATGCAGAAGTATTTCTAGTCGTGTCTCAAGATGGTACTCTATGATCATGCTTCAATACTTTTAACATCAAACTCAATACATGCAAGAACTTCACAATCACATGATGTAAATTGTAAACTAATTCTATTTCATATCTTAACGTACTCCACTAAACTGGGCGTTAATAAATCTCAGCCGAATGTATGATTAATTTAAACACATGTTTGGTGTCATGGACAGGAACTTCATACTTGGTCATTGCAAGACGTGACGTTATTGAAGCATCTCAAAATGTTCCATGATCTTAAAACGTTAAATAAAAATGGTAATTTGACATTGTGACGGCCTATAGTTTTCAGTCCATAAGTATTTAGTACACTATTATGTCAACACTACGACAGACACAAGTTGGTGTTTGTCACTGTGTCACATTACAAAAAATTATTGTGTAGTGTTCTCAAATAGAAGCAATGCGTTGGACTAACAATATTCACGTATCTAGAACCCCCATGTATTTATTTCTGTAACTTGTCTACTGCTTTGCTACATTATAACTCATGGAATGAAATTTGAAATGAGACAATTAAACTGCTTGAGAACTATCCGGTGTTTTGTTCGGCATTGACAAGTTAACAATTTCGGAAATGCTCGTGACTTTGGATGATGAGGCAGCATGGGATATCTCAGGCTTCGGGTGCATCTTCGAAACATCTGACAAGTCCATAGGTTTTGCAAAAATGTTCATCGGGGGACACATGGTCGAGCATGCATCAATGTCCTCGTCATCAAGGTCAAGGTCATCGTCGTCACTGACGTCATCGACGATCTCGCATACGTCATCATCTTTTTCTTGACAATGCGTCCCAGTCGTGTCAGGTGCGTAGCTTGGGGAACAGGGGTCGATGAATTCGTCAGTTTTGTCTCCGTCGTCGCCCATTCGGAGACGGTCATGGATTCTTTTGTGTCGTTCCAAGTTGCTCTTGTGACTGGTAGCATAGTCGCAGTGGGGGCAGGTGTAGTCTTTCTGGCCACTGTGTACCGACAGATGGCGCTTTAGGAGCGCCTTCCGGCAAAACCGCCTTCCGCAATATGGGCAGGAGTAACCGTTGTGGTGAAAGATCATTATGTGTTCGCGAAGAGAAGCCTTGGTGGTGAAGTGAACACCGCAGCATTCAAGAACCTTGTCACAAGCTTGGTGCATTGTGGAGATGTGTCTCTTCAGGTTGTTACGTCGGTCCGTGACGTATCGACAATGAGGGCAAGGAAACAGCTTCCCTCTGAAGGTATTACAGACCAGCATTGCCAGTTCAAGATAGTTCCTGTTAATGAACGGAGACTTGAGTTTGGACATCTCTGTCGCGAAAGCTGCCTGGTTGACAGCTTGATAGTGGGTGAAACTGATATGCTTGAGGTCCCCGGCCTGTCCTGGGTAGAGTGACGGGTAGTGAAGGAGAGGGGAGGGGAGCGCTAGGGCACTAGAAGGTCCTGATATGGATGGGCCACAGAACGGCAGATTGTGGAAGGGTTGGAGAGCGCCGCCTCCGACAGCGCCCAGTGACACGTTGGTGAGACTTGGTCGTGTCTCCGACACGCTGGTGCTCGGTTGGGGAGCTCGTATCGCTGGCTGAGGGAAGCTCGCTTCCAGATCCGAGGGGTGACGAGCCGAACCTCTCTCGCACAATCCAGACGCACTGAAGCAGAAAACATAGAGAGATGAGCTTACCGTGAATAAAAGGCTGGATTGTCGGCAGGAGATGAGATTAACCTGAGTAAGGTCTCACTGTGCGGCCGTATCATATAGCCACGAAACAAGCACAAAGGGCGACAACTATTGCTTTCATTTGTGATAAGAGCGAAAGGTCAATTTTCCTACCGAGACAGTGACTTAAGTCTTCAGCCGAGACATATTTCTTTCCAATCAAACTTAATGTAGCGGAAGGAAAAAGCTTTAGACCTCATTAATCTATTAGCAAAGCTGTGTTGTTGTTGGGAAAATTAGGGATAATGCAGAAAAACAGACACAATTAGGGCGCTCGAACCTAACACTATCAGTTTACAGACTTCAACAAGAGCGATTTCGTTCCACGCACCTCCCGCCAAGCCCTCTTTTAGAACCACCCGTCCCTTCGAGGACAATAACCGTGGTATAATCCCAAACATGGGCTTCAGCTAGGAGAAGGATTACAGTATGAATCTACAAAGAATACCTTGTACATTCTGGGGATTTTTTTCCAACACTTAATCTGAAATTCTGCACGTATCTGTTTCGTTGTGACCAACACTGGCGATGAATTACGTTACGGTCTTGATAGAAATGAAATATTTAGCCAGTTTCTTGATCCCAGAACAAAATGGGATAAAGAGGACAATCTGTCATACGTCTAAAGAAGTCAGTACCTAATAAAAGTAGATTTACGCTAGGCTCGAGTCTGAAACCTAGATGTGAATCTGACACCATAGAAATATGAACTTATTACGAACAATGAACAATATATTTGGTTACACCACTAGTTTGTGTATTCTGGCAAGGTTTCTATAACGATGTGTGTATCTTCAGTGTTTAAATGTTCCTTAGATTATATATTTAAGCATTATACCCGTAGTACAAGCGATTGTTTTAGATATATTGATTAAACATTAAGGAGACATTTTCACTGATATGTTTATATTTACATGTAAAGTGGTGCACTTGTAACAATCAGAGTGTTATCACTTTGATTAATACTCGATTTGTTTTATATGCAAACGCTCGCATCATATGAGCTGTGAGTGTGATATTCAGTCTAATGCCAAAGACTTATTACGTTCTGAAGACCAAAATATCAGGTGTCGAAAATCAACAAGCAGTTTTTCATCTTGTTTCATGTTCCGTGGACAAATTAAATTCTAACTTAACCAAACAACACCGGCATTATTTACCTGCTTACAAAAATGCAAATTTAATCATCAAGTCCAAACCGCTTGTGACAACAACACTGTACGCTACGCCAATTTGCTCAGTGCTGTCATCATTCTCTCTGCTAATCATTAGGAAATCATCTCAAATATAATTTCCACTCCCCCGTGGTTCTTGTAATGGCGGTGATGTATTGCCGTCATGAGATCGTTTACGCGACGGAAAAATAACACGATTATCGGTCTTAAGTGTTGCCCTTTCGTTTAAGGGGCGTTTAATTGTTTCGTTTATGATAGACTGCTGCAAGGAGACCCTCTCTCGTCCTTCTTGTTTTGCTTCTCAACTGATTTTTTTAAAATAATTACTCAAATAAAATACATGACACAAATATGTTTTGGACAAACATTTTGTGGGGTGATAGCTTCATATTTACGAATTATTGGCTGGATTCCATGGAGCTGAGGAGAGCTCTCTTTACAGATTAATCGTTGCTGTGATAACAAAATCTGACACTCGTGAAACGAAATAGCAAGTTCATCAATAAATCTTCTGAATTGGATTACAGGCGGATATTGGCGCCAAAATTACCGAGTAAATTTCGCGTGATTCGCGTCAGACGTTATCGCTTGTGCTTTAGCAGCTGATTACCATAATTGAGCTAATTACAGACCGGACGCCGTACGCCAACAGAGGCGGCGAAGAGACAGTCCGATACTGTTCCAAATCAATACAACCCACAAGGTGTCACATGTACCTGAACGCATTTTGATGATGGCAGGAAATGTTTTCCATAACATCATGTGACTACGGTAAATTGCCCATGCGGTGCACGAGATTCACGGGACGTCATGGCGAGCACGTTCTGTGCACACACGCCCAGGGAAAAAAATACACGCGGATATTTTTACTCATATGTTCGCGCAGAATCGATGTCCCAGGAATATTTAAGCCGCCGCTTTGGTCCACTAAAGCACCTGCTAAATCTGGCACTGCTCGAAACTTATTAAGCGATCATTTGAATCAGTGTCGGCCCATTAAATAGTTTATAATTGAGATTTAATCCACAGCAAGATTACCTTGTCAACGCGTTGCTCAGTTGACGCAGACAATGAGTATATTATGGTGATGCTTGCATGAAAGGTTCACAGCTTTATTGATGAATGATACGTACCGTACACGATTAAGGAATTGTGTAAGGTTTAAGTATGCTTTTGTGTTTAAACTCTTTTGGTGATTAATGTCTTTCAAAGTTGCAAATGTTTGATCTAGAAAATACAGTTTGTCACTTTACAGGGGACATTTCAATGCGTTGTAAGATGTTGACTTGTCCTTGTCAACTGGTATTCTTTGCTTGAAGTTTAGTTAGGTGAAGCAAAATGTAGATGCAAAGTCAATACTACTGCTGTAACGTAGCTGGAGCTGCTATAGTAGTTCTGGCAACTATGGTAACGTCAATGTCAGCAGCAGTGATAAACGTATTGGCATTAATCAAAGATTTGATAAAAAATTATAGTCGTATTTCCTTTATAAATATTTGTATTAACGGATTAGTTTACCAGCAGACAGATAGAATAAACTGAACAGAGAACTGAACTAAGTGCTCAACGATTGGACAAGTTAGCAAGAAATTATGACTTGTTCTTCATTCCATTCAAATTATTGTTTTTCTCATTTTTGTGAGAACTATATATTTTTTTTAAATTAGTTAACTATATTTATCAATACTAGTCAACTGATGAAGCACCACACATTTACCTGTGTGTAAAAGTGTATAAAGTATATATTCCACGACGTATATCACAGTAGGATAGTTTCTGGTTGACAAAAGCATGTATTCTTACAATGGTGCATACTTTCGTTTCATATCTCTATCAGAAAGTCTAAAAATCTACAAAATCCATTTTACTGCCACTTTTGAAAAAACTCTTTCCTGTAGGTGGCAAACATGTAATTCATCTGATATCAGTACAGGCAGATAGTAGTTTCAAGTTTTATTTATTTCGAGTTTTCTATTGTTAGTTTTAAATCGCATTTAGTGTTCTTTCGGTAGCAGGTATGACGCCTTGTTTGAATCAATGTGCCTTGCACCTTATGACTGTTTCAATGAAAAGAATCATCGCACCTAATGGCAATTTCAATGACCCTAACAATCGAAATGGCCATTTCGAAATCAGTTAAAAAACAATCGTCGCACCTTATGTCAATTTCAATCAACGAAATCATCGCACTTCATGGCTATATCAGTGTAAGAAATCGTTGCACTTCATGGCTATTTCAGTGAAAGGAATCTTCGTACTTCGTTGCTATTTCAGTGAAAGGAATCATCGCCCCTTAAGATTATTTCAGTGAACGGTTGCAGTCTGTATTACACACGTTCAGCCCATCTAACACCCGGGCCACGCTTGGCCAACCAAGTGACGTAACAGTGGAGACAGTGGCACGTTGGAATGGACATTTTATCGTCATTTTATTGAAGTGGACTTTACGCAGACCACGGGGGTTATACTAACAATTCAGTTGGACAGTGCGTCAAACCGTTGAAAGGAACGGTCGGGCCTGGCGTTATCTCGTGCGGATGACATTACATATCATGCAACTGAATCGATTATCTTAATCAAATATATTTAGGAATTTCAGTTAATGAAATTACTCATATAAGAGCAAAATTCCACGTAAAGACCGTTTCTGACAGTGCTAAAAACGACACAAAACAATATGCAATCATTTATTGAAAACGTGAAGAAACCCTTTTCACTTATTTGTAGATATTTTTCAATTATTCAACTAAAACATTCAAATTCAACAATGGCCATTCTTGAAGCAGTCAAATATATGATATGATATGATATATTATATAGCAAGAAAGGCACATGACCCAAAGGCTCATTGGAACGTGGTATATATCATCGTCATAATTTCAGCATTTAAATTAAAAATCGAAATGTGTAACCAAATAATTCAAATAAACCAACAATGCGATGGCGTAAGTTCTTTTTATGACTAACAGCAGTGATATATTATTATGACCCATATTTACGTACCCTATTTGTGCGTTTTGTGTGTTTATTACATTGTATGCATCTTATTGCCACATTACATTACATTGATTTGAATTAAAGTTAACGAAGTCGCATTAAGGGAAAACTTTAACGTACAGCGATTGTAAGCTTCAGTATTTTTATAGAGGACAAAGCTAAACATTTGTTTCAAATAATTATGAAATCAAACCTCGAATTCTCCTGTGATATAGTGTGTGACAATAATGTATATATAGCTCTTTCTTATTGCATATGAATTAATTCATACTTAAATTCCATTACTGCTAGATTCCACATCTAAATATTTGATATCGTACACTGTAGTGTATGAACTCTCATTCAGCTTATAAATTAGGCACTGCTTTGTATGCTTTTAGGCATATCTGTATTCATTTTCATTGAAATACAATGCAGTTTGAGACACTTCTTTTCTGTTATACTATGCATATGAACCATTGTAAGAGGACATCTGCAGTAAGGTAATATGTAAGACTACAAAGGTGACGTGCATTTTATGCAACACAAAGGTTTCTTCAAAATGGAACCGATAGTACAGATCAGCACAGGCGCTTTCACTCTGTGTTAGCTGAGGCGTAAATACACGTTTATGTTTCTTCTAACAGAGGAAAACATCATTTGCGAGCATCCTTAGTTGGAAAATATAATTGAGAATATGTAAAATAGATTGACGTGAAATGTGTAACATTTTCGAATTTGAATGTAGCAAACAAAAACACTGTCTGATCTGAACTGGAAATTCATATGATATATATTTTTAAATCCTGCAACAAATTTCTTCTTGAATATTTCTGTTGGAAACCCCTACAAATAATGCAAATTTATTCCAAGGTGTTTAGAGTTAATAAAATGTTGCCAGTGAAATTTCTTGAGAGCTAATGAAATAGAAAATTGTATCTTAGGAAAGAAACTATCCGTTTTTCTGTAAACGGTTGATTTTCTGCATGGGTTGAAATTTCAGTAAACGAATATTAAATGACCCTCTTCCACGAAGCCTTTATTTTCTCCACTAAAACTCACCAGGGGGCGTTTTGAAGGACAGCCAAGCCACGTGGCCGAGCACTATCCAATCAAATTCGAATTAATAAGGTGCATTCGAGCCTGACGCTGGCCTTTTGGCTGCCTGGTAAAGGTGTTCTCGCGCATGGAAAACCAATTCTATTCTAATTTTGGGAGCGGTGTTTGGTATTTTGTTAATTCAGTGCAAGTGTCATTTCAATTTGGTTATTTTCACCCCGCTAACGCGTTAATGTTGACAGTTTTTATACGAAAACGGTGCAGGACAGAATATTTCGTGACTCCCATTTGCAAAAATGACAGGCATACGTCTTTCTAACAATAGTTCGTTTGTTCTGAATAAAATACTTTCTCGTTGTCCAGATAAGATTTTTGAACTTCCGATTAAGCGATTAAACCATGTCAGATTATGCGAGAGATAGCGAGTGAATAATATAAATCGCGACAGTTAAATGCTTTAACATTGTCCAAACCCAAAACATGAACAAATAGCTCACGTGTTGCGCTAAGTAGCGTACATAATTTCACAAAATGATTCCTCTTTATACCTGAGATTGAACAGATAATGGGAGTTTGCAGATTTGATAATTGCGCAGTAATAACGAATGTATGAAATAAAAAATCTTTAATGTTTCAATTTGTGGCGAGTATAATAGGACTGAGATATTGACATGTGTTCTCTCCGGCTTTTATTCTTGTGTATGTGTACGACCGATATATTGTTACTTTTTCATTTTTTAGACACTGTTAAATAACATTTACACATAAGACCAAATAGATTAAGAAATTTATTTTTTAACATTGTTAAATTGTTTGCATAAAAAGGTCCTTTTTTATTTATTTATCTTTTTCCTTAGAATTTTGAAAAACAATTCGCTTTTTATGTTACCCGCAAAAGCCTTCTAGATAACGATGCTTATCTTTTTATAACAAAAAAACACAACCATATATCTATTATTACCAAATTGCAGATCGAATCATTTTTTTATATACCGTGTAGCCTGTTTTATATGTTCATGAGCATACATCTCAATAACTTCGTAAACATTACAAAAGGTTCATAAGCATTAAGGAATAACATTTCAATTTAAATCTAAAAATTGAACAATGAAAATGTTGCGAAGAATGCTAACGAGAGTAACATCCAAAAAGCTTTTTCCACTGGACTTACACTGAAAAAATAAAGAATGAAAAAGATATATCAATAGATACCATTTCCAAATACTTGATTTCAAACTATTGCTCAGAAACAGATTAAAGCTGCTATAATTACCTTTTTTATGATTAGCTTTCATAGCTTCGTCATGCTACGTACATTTATACTGCTACACGTAACTGTTGATACGGAGCCATGTAAATGCTTAATCAAAATGTTAGAATAGCCACTTTGCAAATAATGGACATGAATGAACACCTTCTGGGTAACATAACCTATCTTAATGAGCAAATTCAATGTATGCTATAACATACCACCAGTGTACAATACAAAGGATATTCTGTTTCGAAATGGTTGATTCTGATCCTTGGAAGCCGTGGATATCATTTCTAAATAATAAATAGCTTCATATTCATGACATATTCTGCTTTGCGCTATACGTGTAAGGATGTGTACAAGTTAAAGTTATATTGTTTTACTTACACGTAGGACTGCTTGACTACTGCAATTATACTTTTGTGAAATAGGGGTTCTTCATAGTATGTTTCTTAATATATTTTCATACATACAGGTACAACTGTAGATTAATTACATTAGAATACTATAATGTTGTCAGCAGAATGTTAGGTAAGGTTATATACCAAATATCACTGTTATGTCTTGTCATAAAATGTCATTGTTTTCATATATGCAGGTAAATAGAATACGTGTACATAGTAATCATAAATACAGGTAATACCGATCACTAGATGTAATTGTCTGGACAGGTAGGATTGTACTTAATGGCATTGTTTTCATACATAAGGTAACATGTCTCATTTAAAGTCACTGCTTCATATGTACAGGTAAATAGAATATGTGTGCATATTTATAATGCAGTTCACCAGATGTAATTGTTTAGACATTTCTAGGTAGGATTTCTACTTAATGGCATTGTGTTCATACATACAGGTAACATGTCTCATGAAAGTCGTTGTTTCACACATACAGGTAATGCACAGGACAGGTGTATGCACAATGTCATTGTTTTCAGATCTCCTGGTGTGACTGTAGAGGAACTGTTATTTTTGTGCATGTAAACCCATAACGTCCACAGTAGGGAATAACACTTCTCCAATACCTGCGTAAACAGATTCCATATGACGACCTTGCTTCCGTTTCATATACATGTAGCGTCCGTGCAATATGCTGCAAACTGCGGAATATTTACCGTGGGAAAAGAAGACATCCTTGCGGTGCTCTAATCAAATGTTAACGTGGGAATGCTAAAAGGGATCAGAGCCCCAGAGCCGTAATTAATAATGATACAAATATATTCCACCATATTTTCCCAGACACGCACTTCAGTCTCTTCACATACTCTTCGTCGAGTGGTCTCTGCACAACAGTAAGATTTAATTATTCAACTTCTTGTCATTCAAATCGTGAAACTTCAGGATTTTCTCACCATCACGACTTAAGACCTACGGGGGATGTTGCTCCCAGAGGAAAAATTAATCAGTTTCGGAATTAACACGTTTCCTTAGAAAAGTGATGATTTATTTAAGACAGGCAATGCGCTAACGCAGAAAGCTTAATGTTAATTTGTTACATTTACTTTGGATGGTGATTAATTAAGGCTGATTATGATCAGAATTGCTAATGATTACAATAAGTCATTGTTGTGCCAGACAAACAGTGGCAGAACTTCCTTTAGTAACACCAGACATGCATATTAAGGAATACATGCAATATAATTCATAACGATAGTGATGGTTATAAGATGCCACATTGAAGCGGCACGTGTCCGTCGGCATGTCCATACAATTTGAAATAAAATATGTATAACATACTCGCTGTATTGTTTGTAATGCATACTATCTGCATGAGTCATACACACATTTTAAATATATAATTGCATTTTACTTACCTAATTATCACAGTTAACTGTAGGTGTTTTCGTTACCCTAAAGGTACCATTCAGGAATTATAGAATTCTTTAATGAGTCAATTTTTCAATTCATTTACCTGTAACTTTAAGTCAGTGTGTTTTTAAAATCATTTTGATTTGAAAATTTAGCTGAGAATGTATAGGTAAATTTTCATAGGTATATATCTTTATAAATAGATTGCTATCTATAAGAATTCAGTCAGGGATGTCTGATATAGTTTCATTCAACCACCAAACAAAGGGAATCGCATCTCTGACAAAGTGGAGCCAATATTAAATTTTAACTCGCCATACCTGCATCGTTCAATGAACTACATCAATTAGAACGTTATGTTTGAAGTACTCTGATATAGTCGGGTGAGCTTAGTACTCGACTTTCATATTCAAATGTGGGGTTCTTATTGCCTCATTACTTGACGCGCACGAAGAGTACTATAAACTTTATACTCATCTTCAATCAGTCGCCAGACTCCGATCAGAGTTATAAAATGCAACCCGTGAGTCTGGCTTATACTCGCATAACAACGGATTTAGTCTTGCATAAAAGTACACCTCAATGTGAACCCTCAGGATCTTGCATGACGATGACTCGTTTTGTTTACACATACATACAGACAAACAAACAAACAAACACACACACACACACACACACACACACACACACACACACAGAGCAACAAAAACAACACACGCACACATACATATAAATACATACACCTTTAGTATGCCCTTTGATATTAATTTAATCAATGAAATGTTTCAGTGTAAACATACCAATATGTTAAATGATATGTTTCATTTGATAAATGGAAATGAACGAGTCTCATCACCGGTTTTAGGTGATCCGTTGAATAATTTTTTACGTCTTTTGGCATTTTTCAACTAATTCAGTCTGTTGCTTTGGATAATCGAGAGTGTCTATTCTTCGGTGTTGACTTGAGTTTGATATGATCCTGATGTTTATTTTGATCTGCGATTTTTCTGTGTTCGACAAAATATGTGTCTGTGTATTTCATTCAAATTATATTTCATATATCCAGGTCTTTTTTTCAAAACTTCAACGCTCTATGTCGAAATGTGTCGTTATATATCGTTTTACTATAGACTATGCAAATGAAATATATTTTTATATATTCATATAACGACAGCCGATATAAATGTTTGCACCCTAAACAAAACTAAACTTCTGCAGTGGGATTGCCGTGGAAATAACCGATTACTGTTCAATTCTTATTAAGCCATGAAGAAATTTCCTTCTATACTCATGAAAATTAAGGCTAGCATTGCGACAAACATAACATGTAAATTGCATGTTTGCTTAACTACAAAATAAAGCATGTCGCATGTTAACAAATATATTACAAAATATGATATGCTAGAAAGATGAAAACTGATTTGCCAGTTTGTCAAGCTTTAAACAATTAAACTTCATGCATAACTTAAATTCTATTCCTTCAACAAAAGAAAATTTCATCGGAGTTGAACCAAAGTTTTTGTAGGCAATTAGTTTTAATGAAACAATCTTAAATCTCCTGAAGCCGAATATGAAGGTAAGGACTGATCCTGACCTTAAAAAGTAGCAGACTTTGGGAGAAGTCTGAATGACTTGTTTAGCACCGTGATACCTGCTGTTAATATTGCTGCATAAATATTCATATTTGGCGATAACCGACAAGAGCCATTAGAGACAGGTCTGAGTTTCGCTGCTCTATGGGGCTTTAGACATTTCATGTTTCGTTTTTGGCACGCTTGAGAAATTCATCCTGCTGTTTTTACATATGAAGAACGGTGTGTGGCCGTCAAAGGTAAATGAACCAGACTGTTGTACTAAGTTCTTATATCACATGCTTGAAAATGTTTGAATATGCTTGACTTTAAGAAGGTGATGTATTTGTGGAATCTAGAATAAATGGTATGTACCTATGAGATAAAGAAAACAAAACCCTTTCGACCATGATATTTGTTTTTATAACACAGTAAGAATTATCAGAAATACTAAACCTAACTAAGCATGAGTATAAAACTAAGAGGTAGTAAAAGTTAATAGTCTGAAAATATGATATGAAATAATTCAACTGCATACCTGATGTGTAGCGATGGGAACATGCTTCTTGAAGACGTGCCTATCATGGACAGGTGATCAATCCAATTAACTCTCAGGTAAGACTTCCTTTGAAGATTCCGATGATGCTTGCACAAGTGAGCCCAAGATGTAACTGCTGATTTTGTTCAGGACACATATAATTTTGACCATGCAGAATGAAAATGTGAAGTTCGTATCCCATACAATGTACTTAAACTAGCTTTCAATTACAGGAGGCGTGGTTTCGAGTCACGTGGTGCGGGCGACGCACGTGATTGGTCAAGCGCGAAGTCAACGTGTGTGAGAAGCTGTAAGTTACCCTGTTGTTTAGGTCCTTGTTTAGGATATTACCATGCAGGATTTGAGAATTCAGATGAATCCAGTAAGACGACATTTGACAGGCACCCGTTTACTCGTTTTATACCTCTGCAAGTGTTGTGTAACGCCAAGCAAGACGTTACCTTTGGAAGCGCTATTTTCCAGGTTATATATTTGTGAAAACCTTCTTCAGAGTGTTATGTGTCAGAGATGGGTAGATATTCGCCAACGACGGAGAAACGCGATACCTGATATGGTATCATTGTAAGGGGCGCAGCAGGGGAAATAATTGTCCCTTGATTGAATTAAATAAACACAGAAAAGGGACGATCTGCTTATTGAGACCATTGTTTGGTGTTAAGTGGCCCATTGAGTCTTGAGTGATAATTCTGTATTTAGAATGTGACTTTCACGGACTGTGAATCAGTCCGTGGTATATCGTGGGGTGATAATTGCAGCCTTGACCGTCAGTCCAGCCAAACAAAGCACATGACATTGCAGGGTGCCTGTCCCCTTCGCCCCACCCCCGGGAGGGACAGATCCCCGTATTAGCTGTCACCCCGTTTTCCCCCACCCCTGATAATAACGCCGAGAGACTCTGGGGGAAGGATCGACCTGCTAATCGACGGATCAACTTCTTTCAAGGATCATTTCATTCAACACACCACCATCTTGGGATCTTATCCCGCTTCCACCCCTGCCAACAAATTGACAATTGATATTGATGCAAATGAGGGAAGGTGTGTGTGCAAGAAAAGAAATACCCCATTTCATCACGCCCCCTTTTTGGCCATTTAGGAAGGTCAATTTGGTCACCATGATGTCCACTAAATGACCACCACGCCCACTGGACCTAATGTCGCCTTGTATGGAAACATTACAGTAATTAAGTCTCATAACCTCCAGAAGTTCATAGTGCACTGCTGGAATACTTTCTCTGAAACCCCCAAGCAACATCTGGGCATACGTAAAAGATCGAATACAATTTTAACCAAGGCAACGTCTCTAATAAAACCGGTTAATTTAACACATTTTACCAGATCAACTTTTATCTTCCTTTAATATTAATATAGAGTATATTAATTTTCATATGTCTTTAATATTAATGTATTGTGTATAAATATCTTGTATTTCTTTAATCGAGTTTGCACAAACGAGAGGGTATACATCTAACAGATAATCCAGAGTAAACGTTCGTTTTTGTTGATTTTTACGTTGCCAATTTTAAACAGAAACGGATCAGTTTTATAAATAAACGAGGCTGGTTCATGCTGATGAATAACGCCAACCACAAAAGAAAAGTAAATATTACAAGTAGGTTCAAGAGAATAAACAACCTTGTTTATTAAGGAAATCCAATTCCATTTGGGACAATAGGCATAATAGCTTTAAAACATATATTCATTGACCCCTGAAAATCAGTGATTAAGGCAAGTGTTCGTGACAAGAGGGGTCAGTGGGGTAGCTAATGGTTAAAGCGTTGGCCCGTCACGCCGAAGACCCGGTTCGATTCTTTACATGGGTACAATGTGTGAAGCCCATTTCTGGTGTCCTCCGCCGTGATATTGCTGGAATATTGCTAAAAGCGGCGTAAAACTATATTCACCCACTCACTCGCGAGAAGGGCACAGTTGATTTATTGTTTAAACAATACGAATGATAAATATTTTAAATTACAAAGTGAGATTTTATGCTTAATTCAAATTTCTTACAAGGATTGCTAATTATGGTGTGGATAATTTTAAGGCGTTACACGTGGCATGTTAGATAATTTTTTTAAACAAAAACATTTAAGTCATAAAACGAAGCACCCTAAGATGAAGTATATATTGATGCTGCTACTAGAGTATGTTCAGCGTGAACTACTGCCAGTGTCCTTCACAGATTAAAAATTACTAAAAAACACAAACACCGAGCCAGTTTATATGTCAGATGATGGTGAAAACACAGTTGTTCACGGAATAAAAATATATTGATGGATTAATCATATCTTCAATAATCATTGTCCGTTTTGTTTTGTCTGTTCCTTTCATGTGACTGAAATGACATATTTGACCACATAGATCGAAACGACAAAACCCTTTCCACATTCATAAGAAATAGCGATTGTACAATTGTGATTATATCATGAGTATATATTTGTTTCCGCAGTGTTACAGCTGTACGATGTTGTTTGTAAACCAATCGAGCCTGGAGCAAACAATCCAGTGATTGTCACCAGTTGATACAATGACAGAGTGTTTATGAATCACTACAAAATAGTGATCATGCCAGGCGTTCGCGAAAAGGTGAGGGTATGACTGACTGACTGAGTTTGGTTTTACGCCGCTTTTAGCAATATTCCAGCAACATCACCGTGGGGGACACCAGAAATGGGCTTCACACATTGTACCCATGTGGGGAATCGAACCCGGGTTTTCGGCGTGACGTGAGGGTATGAAATGATTCAACCCCATTACAGAAAACATCCGAGAGTTTCCAGCAAATACTGGTCAAGACCACATTCAGGAAGACGTGCAATATGTACACAAACAGTAACATTTGTATGACTACAATTACAGTTACAGCTAATCGCTTTGGCTAAATAATTTATAACTTTGACGTATATCTTCTAACAGTGTTAACGTCTAAATATTTACTTGAGAAAACTAACCACCAGAAAATCTTTCAGTATGCTGCCTATTTGCACGAACATACTGTGTGTTTTGAATATTAATATATTCATGTTTTCTTTGTGTAATTCTTGGGCACATTTCACATCAGATCTATTTCCATTTGAAACTAACATGAAAACTGGAATTTTGTATTACATCCATTTATGAAAGGGGAATGAATATTAATATATTCATGATTCCATGTGCCATTCTTGGACACATTTCACATCAGATCTATTTCCATTTGAAACTAACATAAAAACTGGAAATTTGTATTACTTCCATTTATGAAAGGGAAATGTTTGTCGATGAATACGTTAAGAAGATAACACAATGTACGTGATGCTATCCATGAAGTGCCGGCATTAATGTACCTAAATGAATGTCAGATACCACGCGATAAAATGACAATGACTGTCCGTCAGTGTAGATTGTTTCTAATATAGGTATAATTATACAGCTGACCAGTGTTCTGACCGATATGCCCGTCGCCAGACATGGACGTTCATTGCAGTATCACTTAAATAGGAACGTATGCATGTTTTAATGGGAATGTTTGGATGCGGACGACAAAGGAAGCATCAATATTCGTTTGAACGACTCGGATTGTTTTGATGTAATTAAAACACACCATTATGGAACTTTCTTCAAGGATTGGCTTGCTTTTTCTAAAAAATGTATTATAATTAATTTTTCATTTTCGATTGCATCATCACTGTGTCTTGTCTTTTACTTCACGTTTTAAAATATGTTTCCGACGCTCGGTTGTATGAGTGAGTGAGTTTAGTTGTATGCTGCTTTTAGCAATATTCCAGCAGTATTACGACGGGGACACCAGAAATGGGCTTCTCACATTGAACCCATGTGGGGAATCGAACCCGGGTCTTCGATGTGACGAGTGAATGCTTCAACCTCCAGGCCTCCCCACCGCTCCGATATACCTGTCACGTAGTACTCACAACATGACATTCGGAGAGCCACGTCACTCTGCTTTCTCCATTAACACAGGTTAGTGTACACATATTTTAATGCATTCCTTGAGTCCTGTTTCAGATTTGCGGGTGCAATCAAATAATTCAGATTGTTTTTAAATGTTGGAATGGTAATATATTTACATTATTGGAAAAACATATCACGTTTCATCTAAAACTAGAGTAGGAAAATTAGCCAATACACTGTTATTCACGATAACATACTATTTAACAATTAACAATGAATGTGGAAAATTGCAATTTTCATATGTAAAACCTGTGACGACAAACCTTTAATCCAAATATATACTTTAATTCAAAGTTTTCATCATAGTTCTTCTTTAAAAAGATATTTTTTCTGATTTATTTTTCATTAAAGACATATCTGAAGAAGATCAAGGATTTGAAATATTGTCGATGCTTTAAGTTTTTTGAAGGAATTTTCTCACGAGAATCTCCACTGATTTCGTGATTAACCATCACAAAAAAGTAGACATCAAATTAAACAAAAACTCAAATTAGGAGAAAACACAACGATCGATTTAATTAACGTGCTTATCCAGGTTCTCGCGTCAGCCGTCATACAGGTGTCTCAAAGCGACTGCAGCTTGTTGGCATGCTTGAAAAGCACGTGCAAATCGTGAGCCGGTCGTGCAATAAGGAATACCCAATGAGCTTGAGGTCTCGCGGGACTTGTGCCACGTGCATCACGAGACTTACGGAGGAATTCCCACCGAAGTTCCTTTCGTAGTTCGTTCTCAGCATAGTTTATTCATACCAAGCAAGGATATCGGCGTCCTTGATTACATAATGCTGTATTATTTAGGCCAGTAATTATTATTGGTATGGTTATCAGAAGATTTAGACCCATCAAATTTCAATAATGAGCTTGTTAGTGCAAAACGATGCTGATATATGTTTGGAAGACACAAATATGTAGATTTATATAATATGTCAAATAGTTTCGAAAAAACGCTGTACCTATATTGACATTACAGAACGTAAACGAATTTGACATATTCCTTTAGATACTGACGAGAAATCTCTGCTCATCTCGAGTGTGTTGTAAGATTACGATTAAATAATAAAAACGTGTCAATGAATCATTATCAAATAGTGATAATACCATACCAGGTCATAGATGAAGATTGGTCGTAAAGCAACTGAAGGCAAACACATGCAAAGGCAGAGCAATCATTCTCTTGAACTAAATTTGCAACATTAATTTCCAGT